TTATTAAATTATTCTTTATATTTTCTCTGTATCTACTAATTAGACTAGAATTAGAAAGCTACGTTTTCACGATTTCAAGAAACTGTATAATGAATGTTCATTGAAAACGGACATCATCACGTCAAAATGGGCTACTATAAGTCTTATCTAGGAAAAAGGCAACAGACGAACACAACATTGAACGTCGCATAAATATTTGATTCGACAAAGTGTATCAAGGAATTCCTTCTATTCCTTCTAAGAACGTATTGATTCGAAAGAGGTCATCTCTTCCAGGACTCGACCACAACCTATACTTCATGTAAATACAGCTCCGTCAGTCAAATCGTTTTCTATTGAATTAACGATGACCATTTCCCTTTGTATGACACCGAACAATTTTATCCATGGACTTTCGTTTGATTAACGATACGTATCATCGAACTCAGTCTCTTTTCGAGGAATTCATTCTGCACAAAAATAGAAACTTTTATGTGAAAATCCTCGTATGCGTGTTAGTGAACATAAAATAATTTTTTAAAAAATTGTTTAAAAGCTTTGTTTGAAGCTTTTACGATTTAAAAAATGATAAATTTTTTGACCGTTCAGTTGTTGTAATCCATATAACTCGTAATATCTATATTCTTATGATTTTTCTCATAGCTAATTATACAATGATTAATTAGATATTCATTAATATTATTTTTGCTACTAAATGATCGATTGTTATATTGATTACATTATATTTGATCTTTATTCCAAAAAACAGAAAATGTTTTTATTGAATCGTAGCAAAAATATATTTAGTATTAAAAAAACATCGATCTTAAAAAGTTTTCAAGACATAAGATAATTCTATTTTCAACAAAAGACATAGAATAAAATATGTGATATATTATTCTATATTTTACATTTATAATATTTACGTATTGTATTAAATCTTATAAACATGACATTTTTGCAACCATTGAAACCAAGAAAATATAATATCAAGTCATCTTTTCTTAACAAATTTGAGAAATTCGATATTCTTAAATTTAATTTAATTTTTACTTTGGTAATTTAAATTAGCATTTTGATCTAATTTTAAATTATTTGTTCTTCTATTTTTCGCATTTTTTTCCCCTTATTTTTTTTATTTTTAGCGAAATTTAAATTTCTAAGGAACGAAAATTAATTGGAGTTAATTAAAAATATATCTCAAATCAAGTCAACAGATCGAATTGAGCGTTATAGAATAGATAATTGGAATCAACGGAATATGTATAAATTTAATTTTAGTTAAATTGTAAAAAAATTATGATGGCATTAAGCAGAACCATTATTTGATCTTCATTTGAATGATTAAATTCAATTTAATATTCAATAATAAATTCGATAATAACAATTTAATTTGCTTTAATTATACATTTCATAAATCTCGATATCATAGATTTATTCATTTATTTTCAGTAATGAAATATGTGTATGAAAAAAAATTAAAAAGAAAATTTAAAAGAATTAAGAGAGAAAATTTTATAAAATTTATAATTATTATTATTAATTATTATTATTATATTTAAGTATTTTTAAACGTTTTAAAGATATGTTTATTAGTTATAATTAACATGAAAATGAACTTTTTTTAATTCCTATTATGTATATAATGTCTTTTTGATAGAGATAAGTTTTTCCTAGTAGTAAAGTTATAATGTGTTTTTAATGATTTTTAGAAAATCTCTGTATATAAAGTATATAGTAAGTTCATATACTTTAATACTAGTGGAAAATACGTACGAATAATTTTCATTTCTTAGAAGTCATTTTACTTCTCTTTAATTATGAATTATATAATATATGAACGAAAAAAGAAAATGAATTCATCATGAAAATCTGAAATGAGATATTTAGACATGGAAAACATATAATTTTTTATAAATAAATTTTTAAAAAAAATATTTGAATAATTTTTTAAATTTTATATCATTTATAATATATTATATGTATAATTTAAATTTAATTTTTTAAATGCAGATTAATATTTTACACGTATCATAGATAAATAAATTTTATAAAACATAGATTTTCATATAAATATAGATTAATATATCATGTGTTAATAAATGCATAAAAATTATTTAAAAATTAACGAAAAAGAATTTAGAATTTTTAATTTTCTAAAAACTAAATTAACAAATTTGATTTCTGTAAAAATTTTAATTGTTCTTTGTTTTCTTTTAAAATGAATTCAACAAGATTCGCATCTATTTTATATTAATTCAATTAAAAAAAAAATTCTTCAAAAGTTATTAATTTTATTCTTTATTGCTTTAACGAAAGTTTATAAAGTTGTAACTTTAACTTTATAAATTTTTATATATTCGAAATTGTAAATATATAGTATAATAAAAGTAAATTAATATTGGTGATATAAAATTGTTTTACAAACAATAACGAAATATGAATGAAAGCAATATTACGTTATAAATGATTATTACATGCTTTTATCACCCTAAATAAATTACAAATATAATACACATATAAATTACAAATATAAAAATATATTAATCTATAATCATGAAAATATATATATATATATATTTTTTTTTAATTCTTTATACGTAAATGTATTGAAATAAAACAATTTTACAACCAACAGTAATCATAAAGCATCCTCACTTTCAAAATACCATGATATGTATGAAATAATAGTATGCATTTTCGTTCATAATTGTTAAATATTGTTATTTTCTGGCAAATGAAACAGGAAGACTGTAATAATCAACAGAATAACTCTTTTAGACTAATGAAAGGTAATTTTTAAACTTCCCACGATTTGTTATGATCATTGTTTTATCTTGTAATATATTTTTATATTTATGATTATAAAAAAAATTATCGTGACTATTTATTTTATTATCAAACGAATTTTATAGTAATTTACAAACGTTATTTATAATTATACGCAAGTACTTGTACCTATATATAAAAAATAAGCAAATTTTATAGGCAATTAAGAGACAACAAGTAACTAATCTTTACAAAAATGGAATTAAAAATTTTTATTTTCAATTTGTTATCAAACTATTTTATTTCATAAATGAAAGTTAAAGTAAATTAAAATATTCTTTTTCTTTTTTAATAATAAACATAATCCTATTTTTTGAAATATAAAATTAAAGTGTGTATAATTCAAATATTTATTAAATGTTTGAAATAGAATTGAAGATTAAATCTAATCTTTTATAATTTGAAATATTCTCCACATCAAATTTTTAATTCGTATTTTATATTCTCCACGTAAAATTTTCAATTCCTTTTCCACATATATATATATATATATTATTTCATGAAAACGATTCACAGTATAAATTATTCAATTTTTTTTATCAAAAATGTATATTTCATCTTCAAATATTAATACTTGCTTGTTCGTTTTTCGATTCATTATGTGAAATTGATCAAGTGGTAAACATTAAACTCATAGAATGTTAAATAAAACACATAATATTAGTTCTCCAATCATATAGATGGATTATATCACGAAAATGTAATAAATATTTTACCATGGAAAATTTATTTAAAATTGAACGGAGTATGCATAATAAATTATCTAAAATCATATCTTGCAATATTAAAAATTTTTTAAATATTTCTATAAAAAAATAGCAAATAGCATTTTACAATCAATTAATTGATATATTCTTTGTTATATTATTAAAGTAATAAATTCTATTATTAGAGTAAGTGATTTAAAAAAAAAATTTTCTGATAGATATTATAAAAATATATCAATTATTATATTATATTTAGTATTATAAGAATTTTTAGATGCATAAATTAACAATAAAAATTTAAAAATTGTATAAATTACAATGAGTATTATTATATTAAATTAATTTATGGTATTAATATCTATGATTTATATCTTTCTGATATTCTTTAAAAAGGCAGGGCAAAATAGAGTAAAATTGACCAACTAGCGCCATCTGTTAGTATCAATTTGAACTCCAAAGATATTGTCAAAAATACTCAAAAGATGGCGCTGGTGTTTAATTCTCACTCTTTTATTTACCTGTCTTTTAAGAAATATTTTTTGTATTCAAAAGATGACATTAGTTTTTTTAATTTTTATTCTATCTTTATCTTTTTCCTTCTATATATTTTCCTTATTTATATTAGTTTCATTTATGACTCAGAGATGGCTCTAGTTGTTTCAATTCTCTATCCTATTTCTATCTTTCTTCTTTCATTTGCTTTCCTTATTTATATTAGTTTCATTTATGACTCAGAGATGGCTCTAGTTGTTTCAATTCTCTATCCTATCTCTATCTTTCTTCTTTCATTTGCTTTCCTTATTTATATTAGTTTTATTTATGGCTCAGAGATGGCGATAGTTGTTCAATTTTTATTCTATTTCTATCCTTTTCTCAATATTTGCTTTCTTTGTTATATATAATTTTTAACACATAACCAATCGAGAATGTGAATCGATTATCGAATAAAGACGTGTCATAATTTTTGTGAAAAGTTATAAAATATTCGTAAATTATTTTTATAGTTCAAAATTGAGAGTGTTCTAATAAAATATTAATAATATTAATAAAAATATTAAAAATTTGTGATACTGTGTGTAAAAGTGATACTATTTATATCCCATTTTATTTGTAATGACTTCATATTTAAATAATAATATCTCCAAGTATAAGATAAAAAAAATACACTGAATATTAAATTCATTCTGTATTTCATCTGTCTTATTTAATAAATACTTTATCCAATATTTTTTTGTTATTCAGGGAAGAGTTTCAAATTTTATTATATTTAATATATATTTTATTATATTTTATATTCAATCATCAATCAAAAATTTCATTTTCAATTTAATAATAATAGATTAATATTTTTATATATTTTAATTATATTTATTCAAATATTTTATTATAATATTTTATTTTAAAAATCACAATTATAATCACATATTATATAAATGTTATACTTATCATAAATAGAAAAATAATATGTGCATACAATGTTTTACATATTTTATTTATATTTATATACATTGTTTTAATATTTTTTTATTATGAATTTTTTTTGGTAATTGACTTGATTCATTAGATTCAATATTTTCTATGAAAATAAAATTTTAATATTAGTTACATAATATAATATAAATATTATATTATCTTAATATTTTCTTTGATAATGAAATATAAATATTTTACCTTCAACATTTAAGTTTTGAAGTTCCTTTTGAAGTTTATCGACATTAAAACTTAGCTCTGTATTTGGTACAGGAGGGAAAATATTTTCATCAAATTTCATTAGTTCTGCCAATTCCTCTTCTAAATCAACATTTGAATCATCATTTATCAAAGATTCTGATAACATAACTTGTACATCTTTTTGATCTTCTATAGCCTGTAATTTATAATAATATAAATATTTCGATATAAAATAATTAATTGTCTAGTTATGATATTTATTTACTTCTGCAAGATCATCCATAATATTTTTAACATTAGATTCTGATAAACCACTTTCATTAAGTTTTTTTAATACATGTGATCCTGTTTTGTAAGCTGATAATACAGCATTATTTGAATGAGAAGTTTGGATACTTGTTATAAGACTTTGAATGTTGTCAAGAGTTTGTATTCGATTTTCAATAGTTTTTTCTAATTCTTTTTTTTTCTTAAATATGTTTTTGCTACCTGTCGTAATCCTTTAATTAAATATGACTTAGCTTCATTAATAATATTAAGTTTTTCTTTTTCCATAAGTTCTATTCTTTTATAAGTCCATTTTCTTGTTTGATTAACTTGTATAATCCTTCCTCAATTTCAGTCACACCATCTGATGAATGTGCAGCAATTTTAATCAATAATTCATTTTCATTTTCACTACTTTTAAACACTATTTTTTTTTCACGTCTTAACCACATCAAGATTAACATTACCGTATTATCTGATATATTTTGGTCTATTTCAGATCTGCAACATTTTATTAGCTCAGAAAATGATATAAGAATATTGTCTTTTTTTTTTTCTAAAATAGAAAACAAAATATCTCCAAATTCTTTAATAATTTGTAAGTTTATGTATCTAGTTTCTTTGTTAATTTCGTTGTTAACAACATAACTTTTAACTTTTGAAAATGACCATGTAAGTGGTTTTTTCACAAGTAAGTCAATTGACCATGCTGTCCATGATTCACAAGGCTCTTTCAAAAATTCAGTTTCTAAAATTATTTCATTATTCCTACAATATATATATTGCAATATTAGAATAATTTTTTTTATTATTTTTTTATTATTTATAAGAATAATATTACCGAAGAAGTTCTTCAACAACAGTTATTAAACAAAGAGGCGTACAACCTTTCCTTTTAAAGGCACTGTTTAAGTCTGCAATAGAAAAACTACTTTTCCTGGTATATTTTAACCATTCATATATTAAATTTTGCCAAAATTTATATTTTGATATCCAATCTTGTGAATTTACCGATTTACTTCGAAAAGGAGAAAATAAAGCACTGATCCTTTCTTCTTCATTCCAACATTTAGGCATTTTTTCAGGAGGAAGTGGCAAATTATTATCTACATGTTTAATCTCCATAGTCATTCTTTAAAAATATTTTTATTATATTTTTATGTTAGATTATATTTTTTACGTATCACTGAAAACATAATTAAATAATATTATATTTATTATATAAAACAAAATAATTTTCAGATTTGTTAAATATTGATACTTTTTTAATAAAAGTTGTTTTTTTTTCAAAGAAATGTCATTACCTTATAAAAATAGCACAAGTAAAATCTACAATAATAGACATACTCATGTCTATTATCTATCAAATTAATTTAAAATATATTTGTATTTTTAAATTATGAAATAAATTTGTTTTAACTTTATTTAAAATAATTAAAAATAAGTATAATGTATCTTTATGTCAAAGGAATCGAGTTTATGCAGAGTTTATACGTAATTATAAATATGTAACATACTATAAATATATATATGTAATTATAATTTATGCAAGATAAATCAAATTTATTTTTTAAATTGATATAAAACCATTTTTTTTAATATTAATTTTTTGTTAAAAAATATATCAAACTTTTTAAATTAAAATAAAAAGAATTCAATTGATAAATAATTTCTAATACAAAAATTTATAAGTTTCATGGAAATAGACAATTATTGAATACTGTCTTATTTAAAACGATTCCTTCAGAATATCAATAATTATTTAAAAATCTAATTTAAAAATCAATCTAAAAAATAATTTTTTAAATTGTTAAACTAATAAACATAACTGATTTGCAAACTGATATTTATTATTATTTGTTAAAATTAAAATTGTATAAATTTGTATAACTAGCAACACTTTATAATATCGACTGTAGAGATCGCTTTAATAAGAATACATCAAGTTAGGTTTTTGAAGTCTTAAATGTTTGAGGTTAAGTTTTCCATTTCTAATCATTTACAACACGTGTTGTGTAGATTATTAACGTAAGGAATAATATTTACGTAAGGAAAATATTTTTAGAAGATATAATATATATATATATCTTATATATATATATATATACATAAACTTAATGTAAGTATATTTGAAAAATTAATTACGTAAAATTTTATCTTTTCTAATATCGTACATTTTTGGATAATTTAACCTTTAATGAAATTAAAAATTATATTATTATGAAATAATATATATAAATTTTGAAATCTATTTATCAAATAATTTAATAATTCTATCTTTAAGATTTAAATTATAATTTTACATTTATATAATAATAAACATAATTAATAAATATACATATAGATATACGAAGATGGCAAAATCAATCCGAAGTAAATGGAAGAGAAAATGTAGAGCAATTAAAAGGGAACGTTATGGAGCAAAAGAATTAGAAAGATTAAAAAAAACATTGGGTATTAATGAAAATGGAACACAAGATGTTGAAATGTCAGATATATCAAATATTGCTACAAGTAAGATATTTTTTTTCTTAATGTATTAATATATTATTTTATTATTATTATTATTTTTTTTAAGTTGTTGATGCTAAAACAATAAAGGAAAATACAAAAGCAAATGACAATGTAACAAATGTTGAAGAAATGGATACCGACAATGGTGGTAGAGTATATAATAAAAAAACAATGCTAGATCAGTATGGAAATTATCCAATATGGATGAGTAAACGAAAAATTGCAAAACACAAAAAAGGTAGAGCAAAATCACAGAAAGCAAACTCAAGGTCACATAAAAGATTAACTAGGAAACAAAAAAAAGCAGCAAAACAAAAATCTTCCATGTGAAATTAATAGCATCAATCAATATAATTTTTTTCTTTTATATTTGTTACATAAAAATAAAATTTATTGTAATAGTAAAGTTTTATATTAATTTTTATATATATTGGGTTTGTTTTTCATTTTATTATAAAGCTGAATACAAGTGATCACAAAACTTGTTTAAATTACACTTCAAATGTAAAGTCTACATTCTAAAATATTATATAAGCTAAAGAAATGGCAGTGATAGTACAATTCTATTTTCTTACATAAATATTACATCTATGGGCAATGCCCAATATTTTTAACATTCTTCTGTTTCATTATAGCAATGTTAAAAATTCAATAAACCATTATTCATTGCTGATTTGCAATGTAATCTTAAACGATTTTCTAGTTCCATTACTCTATTCGTTAAATGTTGCATTTTCCTTGTCTCTAATTCATACTCTCTTAATTTGCTTCTCATTTCATATATTTCTTGTTGCATAATTTGCTGTAAAATGTCATAGCTTTAAATAATATATATTTTATAAATTATTATACAAGTATTTTATATACTAACCACATTTTCAATGGCTCTTTTCATCTCATTAATACTTTCAACAACTGATGCAACTTTGACATTCATTTCTGTTGTTTCAGTATCTCTTTTCCTTCCTGTTGCAAATTGCTAAAAATATAATTTTAAAATAATTTTAGTAATTATTTTATAATTACTTATAGTTTATAATTATATATATATATATACTTATTAAATGTATATATATACTTATATGTATACATATGTATAGTTTATATGTACATATTTATAGTTTGTAAATTTTTAAAATTAGTTTCAATATGTTAGAAAATCTATAAATGCGTAGAATTATCTACGCATCTTCCTATTCAAAACTATTGAATTGTTCACGAATTTATGTGATCAATTCACATTCAAAACAATCAAAATAAAATTGTAAAATAAGAAAAAAATCAACCCGTTGCATCCGTTTTTTTTTATCATTGAACGAACGTGCTTCTTCTTTACAAGTTAAATAATATATGATGACTATTGTTCGACATACCTTTTCAAGTTTAGTAAGCCTTTTTAAAATAAACTCATATTCCTGATCGAGATCACCATCAATTACTTCATTTTCTGTATCTGTAATAAAACACTATTACACTACCGTTCAATTATGAAACGTAAAATATTCTTTTATTTATACGCAAATAATAATGAAAATAAAAGAAGAGAAAAATTTGTAATTATGAACCATGTGGTGTGGAAATTGATGGACGTCTTGTTGTTATTCGGGGAAAGTCGTTCTCCAAGTCTCGAGCTTCGAATGCAGTGTTTTCTGTATCTAAAAAAATATATATATATATATATATTCGTCATTAAAATAAAAATAATCTAATCCAAGCAAATTATTCTTAAAGATAATTTTTTCCAATTTCTGTGCAAAATATTTATTGTTATATTGAATGAGAACATAATGCATCATTGTGATAAATGGCATTTTATTTGATTTTTCAAAAATTTAAAAAAAAAGTTTTAATTAATTTACTTAATGATTGCTTTAAAAGCATTTTTCTCTTATAGATTTGATTTTGCAGATAATCGAATAAGAATAAATATGATAAATAGATTTAAATGATTATATGTTTATAATATGCATAAAAATTAGAAAAAAATGTTTATATTAAGTAGTTAGAATAACAAATTTTTTTAATAGAAGCTAATTGATTTCTGATTGATTAGATAAAAAAATAATAATATAATCTTTTTCTTAGAATATTCTTTTATAATATAATTTATAATATGTTTCTATTGTTTATTATCATTTATAGTTAAATGTTTTATTTTAATTGTCCATATTTTATATTCTTAATTATCAATGAAAAAAATTATTATTTTCTCAGATTTTTAGAACGTTCATTGAAATTAACAATTTCTGATACACAATATTTATCACATTCGATATTTTGAATTTCGCAATATCCTGATCATATTTTAAACCAGAATTCATTCAAGCTTAAAATTCATATTACTGTACCATGTTTCATCTATTTTCCAAGACAATTTTGATCGATGTTGAACTTCAATTAAATACCGACGATCATTTTAAATATATCTTACAGAGTCAAACTTCGTGTAAATAGCATTGAAATTCAAGATTAATGAGAATAGATGCAACGAAACATTATCGTTTCTTCGATAAAAATAGCATGATTTTTAAGCCTTATCTAAAATTCCAAAAGTTAGAATTGAGCAGAACAACAAGAAGCTATTTAAAAACTTTTTCATTGGTGTTGCCAACCTGTGTAACGTTTCGTGGACAGCATTTAAATATCAAAATTGATAATTCTTGTTTTTCTGAGTACTCTATTAGTCACTGTCAAGAGATCTCAAAAACGAATTCGTCTTTGAAAGAATAGAATAAAATTTCTTCAACAATTACTTACCGTTCTTTCGACAGGATTGACCGTCTTTTTGTAATTGAAAACCAGGTCTGCAATAGCATTCATAAATTCCGGGTAGGTTTCTGCAAAGTTGATCACAAGGCTTCTCTGTCACGCATTCATCGATGTCTGTAACGTTGGTGGACAAGTTATGTTAATTCATGCAAAAATTAATTGCATAAACGTGACAGCTGCATGATAGTAGTTGATCGCGAAATCTTTCTGTTTCCAATCAAGAATATTACGCAAATTCACTACAATGTAATATTTCATTAATCAAACAAATGTTTCAAAATACATTTGACAATTTTATAAAAATTATTGTAAGAAATTTATTAATCATGAGTTAGTGAATGATAAAAGATAAATAGAAAAGGATTAATGATATTATTTAGTAAGTTGTTTATTGATTAATAAGATAAATATGAGAAACTGAAAGATTTGTTTTTTTATGAAGCAAGAAGTTTAAAACTCAATATAAATAACTTTTATTTCATTATATATTTTAATTAAAGTGTATTTTGAAAAGAGAAATAGAAAAAAAATTTTTTTTATTTATTATGTTTAATGTTTCATTGAATCATTGCTTAATTGATATTTACAATTGATATTTTAAATAAATTTCATATGTATTAAATATTCCATATGTTTTATAATATCATGAAAGAAAACATCTTTTAACAAGAAATTAATCGCACATAAAATTTCTATTTCTTTAAATCATTCTATTTCTTCTTTCCTTTTTTTTTCTTTTTCAATGTAAAAGAAAAAAAATATTTTTTAGAGTAGAATATTTTTTAAAGAATACATGATTAGCTCGTAAAACCCAGGAAGATCTTATCATAATTGAACAACGTGCCGTAGCTATTGTAAATTTCAAGGATATCTTCTTGGGAGGGTTAAAACCTCTCGTAAAGGATTTTTTTATTGAATCAAAAGCGGTTCACTAACACGACTTACCTCGCCCCGATAATTAGAACATCCGCATAGCTTAATGAAATCGCTCGTAAATCTATCGAAAGCAGCCCAGCTGCCGGATACCACAATACGTTCGGCATGGTATTCGCACAATGCTATCGACCTGCGTATCGGTCTACGTCAATTTAATTACGCTTAACGATCTTGGCTACGAGGACGTGCTTCTACCTCGAATATCGATCACGTATATTTTACGATTTAACGGCGCTCGTTGTTTGCCTCGTTAATTTTGTGGAGGCTCGTTTATTTTTATGATATTTCGAACCTAGCCTAGATAAAGAGCAACGAACGAATTGTTGATCACTATTTGAAATTTGGAATTTGAATTTGAGAGTGGGGTGAATTAGAAAATGCTTTGTGTTAACGAATTTTAAATTTACAGTGCATAAATTTCTTCGCATGATACATTTGAATAGCGATAAGTAAATATACAGTCAATAATTATATTTTTTATCTAAAAAAAAGATGAATGAAAAGAAAAAAATATTTTTCATTGCTAATTTAGAATTGACTTATCTGTTCTATATATTACCTGTCTGACACTGGTTGCCTGTAAATCCTTTGGGACATGTGCACTTGCCAGGAGAGGTACACACACCTCTGTTCAAGCATGGGGAAAGGCAAATAGCTAAAAGGTAATTAAATTTAGATTATGTAATATATAATTATTTATTATTTAATAAATAGATATTTATTATTACACCAATCTTTAAAATGTATATATAAGTATTTTAATAATAAAGAATAATTTTATTAAAATTTTATTAAAATTAATAATAAAAAGAAATTATTGTGCTTATGACAATTTACTTACGTTTATTGCATCCAAAACTCAAGTGAGTTGCCTGTGTCCATCCAGGGCAGCATAAGAAAATGGAAGGTGTCTCAATATTAAATATATTAAGATATCTAAAAACAATTGAATATAATTGTTTAATGTATAATTTTATCGTACATTATTATTATAAATAATATTTTTCTTATAGTTATTATAATCTTAAATTTCTTAAAAATCTTAAAATTCTTAGAAGGAGGTAACATTCTTGTAAAAAAAATTTATTGCAATAAATTCTGTTTTGTAAAATTTTTTTATATTAAATTGTTTAAATTAATATAAAAAAATTTTAATTATCTCAGAATTAAAATGTAGTTAATATAGTTTTAATTATTTTGAGTATACACAGAATATTAATTTTAAAAAAAAAAATTGAGATTCTAAGAATGTTTAATGATAAATATCTCGTTTTAAAAAAATTCACGTTACCTAACTTTTCGATGATGATGAGTAACAGAACTGGGGATCGATCTGGTGCAAACTCGTCTTCTAAAACACAAAGAAATGAGTAATGTATTAATACGAAAAAATATTTTACATACAAAAAAGAAATGATATCTCATACACGTTTGTTACTCAACAAAGATCTTCTTCGCTATATTTTAGAATAGATAAATATTCTAAGCTTTACATTTGTTATCAAAATTTATGCCATCTATACACACTCATTGTCATACGGTGACAAGATGAAATTAAATGATTGTTTTGATAGCGATCACAGTCTGAAGTCAAATTCGAAACTTTATTTATATGATATGGAGACGACATGGAACACAAGAAGGATAATTTTGATAATTACATTTAAATTTTGATTCGATATAAATGACGGAGTTTAAAAACAATTTTTAATTGTAGAAAGAAATTCAAGATGATTATCATTCTGTATCATAAAAAATTATTCGACTACTTCTGTTGTAACTGATCTTCTTTGATAACAGAATTCGATTAATCAATAAATATTGATAATTTTATTTGAAATGATTTCGAATTAATTTTTTCTGATTGCTTGTTTTAAATCAATCATAGAAAATATATATTTATAAATCTTTTTTTATAAATTATTAAAAGCTTTCATTTACATCATCTTGTTACTTTTATCTTCATCCTTAATCTTCTCATTACATT